CCTTTGATTTTCTATGTCTTTTAGTTTTTTCGTGGTTTAGTTTTTTAATAAAACCTTTAAATATCTATTTAGCTATGTGATTTTGGTCTATCTGTGATTTATAGATATTTTTGTTTGTATTTTGCTTTCTTCATACTTTTTCCATTTTATATTTTTTGTTTAGTTTGTTGTTTTCATTCATGCACTCCATTTGTGATTCCTCACCACTTGCATAACTTCTGATCATACTCTGTTTTTCAGGACGTTAATAACAATTTAGGCCCCCTATTTGGAGCTCCCTTTTGGCAACTTCTCCCCTTACCGCCATCGTATGTTATGCCCATTAGGCCTAATATGCGTTAATGCTATACATAAATAAGGCCTCGTCGCCATACGATTATGGCATACTAACCAACTTCATTTTGTTTTCGTTCAGAATCTCTCGTTTTTTTTTGCACATCTGAGGGAGGCTTCTCCAAGTCCCCGGACACCCACTCCACCAGATCTTCTCCAGCCCCCTACGCTAATATGAAATGTAATTTACAGTTGCCGAGGAGACAGCGTTGACAACGACGGGGCCAAGAGTCTTTAACGTCTTTAATCCAATTTCCCAGCGACATGAGACGACGCGGACCGAGAATGAATACAAATGTGGCGTACGTGTTGAATTTTCCCAATTAAATGGGTTGGCGCTGACTTATTTTCCCCGTCATTTGCAGCTCGTCTCCTAATCGATATTTATATTTTGTTTGGGCCATTGACTTAATTTCTTCGTCTCTGCTTTCTGCACAACACAAATTATGCAATTCAAATTAATGCTGCCATTATCGGGGAGTTGAGGGTTATCCGAGAGTCTTCCCTTTTCAGTACTTTCTGTCTTTTGTGTGTTTTCTTTTCTTTTTTTTTTTGGTGAAATGAAATTAATCCAGCTTGGCAAATGCCAGGCACGTATCACTGTGGATGAGTCTCCATTTCTGCTGTGTTTGTCTTTTGTCTTTCGTTTCGTTGCTTTTCTTGTCGGCTTTCCCACTCCATGTATGATTTTTCAATAGCTTTTCATGCTGGCTAAAACCAATCCATGGCATAGAACAAAAGGCCTCCGGAGTTGCTGCCTTAATTCGGTGTGCTTTGAAATCGAATTAGGGTACTATACAGCTACATATATGAATGTAAGTGTGTACGTGTGAGATGACCCCCAAGCACAGAAAAAAATGTATATCTTATGCCACAATAAAAAAAATATCTATCCCTTATACCACAATAATCTGTACATCAAGATTTATAAAATGGCAGTACGAAGTATTTTCAAAATAAACAACATCTTAATTTTTTAAGAATCGTATGGGAAAGTCCAGAAATAAAATGTATTGAAGACATTGGACATTGTCTATCATTTTCGATGATATTTTTCCCAGTGTATCGTTGTCATCTCGGATTTTGGTGTTTTTCCGTTTTTCGCAATTTTAGGAGCGGGCAGGGGGGTGGGGCTAAATTTATGCCTACAACCCCACCCCCTGCGACTTTCACACACGTAACCTGGTTGACAGCTGTTGCCCAGGGCGAAATGCGGGGGAGGGGGTGGCTGGGGGAAAGTGGATGGGCCAACACAAATGAATTGACCCAGTTTCGTGGTGGTAAAAATCAGGGGTAAATTTGGCAAAGGCGACCAAAGAAGAGATAAGGTTTGTGCCTTTCATCTAAAGAGTGTTTTGTTTTATGTTTGAACAATAAATAAAAATGTTTAATACATTTATTAATTATTTACAACAATTTATAACTTTTTTAATATTTTAAGTTGTTTAAAACATTATTAAAATAAGTGATGTATAATTGCAAACATAAATTTTCTTTTCTAATTAATTTGAATAAAACACTTAAGTCTTTTTTAAATTTCGCTAAGCCCAACGTGTTTTATGTTCCACATGATTGCATTTATTTCCATACATTTAATTTAAATATGTGTAACTTCTCTATCAAGTCCCATTTAATTTCCTTTTATCTTCCTGTCCAAACTGCTTATTGGCATAGTAAATCTACATCAACAAGACGTTTTCCCCCACCATTTCCTTACACTTATTTTTCCGCTTATGTCTGTTGTTTTCCATCCACACACATTGCCACTGACATCTTTGTCACCTGAACATCCTTCCGCTTCCGTTTACCTTCCTGTTAGGGGACCCATTCCTTAACAGATTACCCAGAACACATGCAAGGATCCTCCTTCCTTTAGCTCCTAACCCAAAAAAACCTATCTCTATGTCATTTTGTTTGTGCTGAAAATTGCTTCCCCCCAAATTGGTCATAACCCTCCGATTTCTCCGTCGTCTGCTGTCTTAACGGAAATCTTCGACGGCAATTTTCACACCAAAAAGGAAAACACTTCCTACTACTTTAGACAATCCCAAATACCTTCATTATGTGGAGCCAGGAATCGGAATCAGAATCGGAGACGGGGACGGGGACGGAATCACAAACGCAATCGAAAAAATGGCATCAAAATGCCCTCCAGAGCATAAGCGTCTTTTATTTTATTGTTTTGTCAACGCTTAAAAGAAATGTTTTTCCATTTAGCTGAACACTTATGAGTATTGTGCTCTGCGGATACGTTTTTGGGATTTAAAAAATAAAAGAGGCAAAGCAAAGGAAAATATGAGGGAAATGTGACTGAGCTTATGTGCGAGTGTTTGTGCCATTGACGACTTTTCACACCACATCAAAAGGCGACGAGGCGAGTGCACTCAAGTGTATAAACAATGGCGTTAAGTGTTTAAGTGCACGGAAATATCAGAGCCATGGATTGGCCTCGAACTCGAAGTCTTAAACCCCATTTCCCCTCCCCCTTCCACCCCCTCGCCCAGCTTTAATTTCATTTTATGGCATTAGCAATTTAAAATAGAGGGAAAAAGGAACGCAGATAGAAGCAGACACAAAGTTTAATTGCTGGCAACAGCTTGGAAATAGTTACAGATAGAGCGGGAGCCACATAAAAAACCGCATTGGGAATGGTCCACTCCACTTCAGGCCAAAAAAAAAAAGAAGGAAAGAAACCATGGACTAGGGAAAGATATATAAAAGCGCAGGGCAGATAGTCCAATAGAGACATTGGTGTATAATTTTATTGGCGCTCTGCGGATGCCAGATGGCGCCCAGAGCTTCCCTTCACCATTCCCCGATGTTCCCTGTACTTACAGGTGGCTTATGGACAGGGGTATTTCAGGGGGAAAACTGGGGACTGTGGACTGGGGACTGGTACCTTCGGTTGGCTTAATTCAATGAAGCGACTTAAGGCCAACATCAGCTGTGGCCAGCTTAAGTTAACAGTTTAAGCCGAAGCGTAAGTAACTAGAGCTGGTCTCTGGCCTGATTAGTTTAATTAAGAGAACGTGTGAGCTGGCCAACAGAATCCCCGTGGGAAGGTGCCAGTAATAAAGCAAATGAACTCTTGATGGATGGCCCAGTTGATCGATGAACAGTTCACTTTTCTAATTCAAAATGTTATACATTGGTTGAACAAAAAATAAATGAGGAATGAATGATAAATCACTTGCTGAAGTTTGATATATAAATAAGTGATTAAGACGAATAAATTGAATGCATATTATAATCAAATTTGATCGTTGAAAAATTTAAGAAACGGTATACATTTATATTCATCAAAATTTAATGGATTGCTATACGGATTTGATTTTAACTCTTTCAATATTCAAACTAATAAAGTATAGATTTTCTTTGTCTTAAAGTTTATCTATTTTCTGCAATTTGTAAGTGCTTATGTGGCCAACACCAGCAACACCTCCAATCTCAAGTTCTTTTCAAGGACAATACCTTCTAATCGCTTCACAAAAATAACGCAACTAATGGCTAACTGAAAAAACATTAGCTCTAATGGCTTTCTTGGTCTGCTAGCTTTCCGCGTTTTTAATTGGTCGGAAAATGCCAACGTAAGTAACAGTTAATTGCCCTTAAGCAGCCATACCGGAGCACATGTACCCACAAAACCCCATCCCATAATCCCATCCCATCGAACCGAACACACCTCCAGCCCCGAAACCACAGTGCAGTAAATAGTTTCAACGTTATTTTACTTGGCCTTTTTGCTGCCCATAATTAGATGCATGACTTGGCAGGGTCTTTCTATGTGCGGTTCGCTTGGTCTTGGTCCGTCTGAAAGTCCGTCTATCCGTCTATCCGTCCCTCTATCCGTCCGTCTCGAGTTGCCGGTGCCGGCTACTCAATTAGCCAGAAAAGACATTAAACTTTCGCCCGAGGCAGCTGCAGAAGTTCAAGACTCCGACGTCTCTCCATGCCTAATGAAGCTAGTGCAGCAGCGAAACTCACAAAAAATATATAAAACAAAATGCAAAAACAGCTAAGAAAAAAAAGAGCACAAAACATTTTCAAGCGCCACTTTTTAAAGCAGCTGCTAAAATTGAAAATCAACTTGAATTCCCTTCGCCACCTTTTCGCTGCTAAACGTCTGCCATAAATAAAGCGAAAAATGTTTTTTTTCCCAAAAACCAAAACAAAATTGCTTGGTGTCCGGGTGGAAGAAAAAGGGGGCGGAATTTGGGGCGTGGCTGCGGTGGGTGTGAATATTGCTAGCTGCATTTGCCCGTGGCTTTTCCATAGTACGTGACTGGTTATCCCATACAGCAGCCACATCCATCCAAAACCTTTCCTGTTGCTGCTGCAACATATTTTGCGTATCAAATTTTGTGCAAAATACTCACAGCTCGATGAAATTCTATTGGGAAATATTTTCCAGCAGGGCTCTGAAAAGGGTATGGCCAAAAACTGCAGGAATGCTGGCTATTTGAAAGTGTGTGATGTGGTCGTAGATTTTTAAACTTAAAGTGTTTCTTAAAACAAGCAAACAGGTAGAACGACAAATTAAACATTCCTTGAATTAATACAAAGGATATTATTATGTTTTTAAAATATTTTTTGTTTTTCTTTTTTGTGTAAAAATCTCTGGGAAATCAATTGTTTAAATGTTATATTTAATATTCATTTTATAAGACTATCTCATTTATATTTAAAAGCCCGCTTTTATTTAATAATCCTCAATTTATCCCTAATCTTTTTTGACAAAAAGAGCATACCCAAGGTTGCTTTATCACCCGGAAACACTTGCCATCAATTTTTCAGCAGCTCTCACCCTAAATATTCCGTTTTCGTGTGGATTTGGAGCTCGATCTAGGTGGCTAAAGTGCATGGCAAACCATTAAAAATGAATTGCCCGGGCATATTTTATAAACGAAACGAAAATTATTTTCAGCAGAAATTGTTGTTGAAATAACAACTAGAGGCGGTGGCGGTGGCGGCGGCAGCGGCGGCAACTATTAATAACAAAGTGTGGAGAAGTGAAGACCCCGCGAACTCCCCTAATACAATCATATAAATTACACTGCCAGAGCAATCAATCAATGTCAAAGTCAGACTGAGTTGCGCTTATAGGCCCAGGGTCGTCAGAAACAGAGAGATGTGGATGTGGATGGGTACGGGTATGGAGATGGGGCTTTGTCGGGGTAGATTTAAGCTAAGCTGCCACGTACTTGGCCGCTCATCAATTTCAATAAGCCAGCCGCCTCGGAGGGAGTCAAAAGTCCGAGTAGTATTCCGGGCAACAGACAACCGACCACCGGCGAACCATTAGCACCTAGGCCAAGTGGCAGCGGCATTTGTCAAAGTCCCCCGATATCCCAGACATCGCAGACATCGCAGACGTCCTCGCCTGTGTTTTGCATTTTAAATTGTGGCACAAGTGAAATTGAAAATGGCTGCTAAATATGTGCAACAATGCGACAACATCGCTCAATTGCCAGCTCCTTTGTCTTGGCTCTATCTGTATCTGTATCTGTATCTATACCCGAGGACGTTCTATATAGTATATGTGTGGTGTCAACAATGGCAGAACGCTTTGGGTGGCATTTCATTGACAGCAAGTCATAAATTTTACAAATGACAGCCGGCAAGTGCTGAATGGCAGTAGAAAAAAGATCCACATGGGAACGTTTTTGCTGTATGCAAATCTCCTGGGTCTAGAGTTAGGATTGGGTTAGATGGTAGGGTCAAAGGATAACCAAGCGAATCCCTTATCCCAAATTCCTTTTGTGTTGATGTGAAATATATATTTGTTGTCAGAAAACTGTGTATTTTCAAAGGTTTTGTTTGTTTAGTAAAATTTAAGGAACTCTTTATTAAATTTACATAATTGCTCTTATGATATAATAATTGTATATAACCTATATAGCTTAAATTTAAATTTATTAAAATATTTATTTATGTTAGAAGATCAATACCTAAACAACTCAAAAGATTGAAAGTCTTATGTCAGATTTAAGATTGGGTGAACATTACTTTCATTCTGTAAAAACAAGTACCATATGTATAGCCACCTACATTATGTAGCACTTTACTCTGAACCCACTCAATCTTGTCAATCAATACCGGGGCTTAACCTTTCTTTCGCAACCACAATAGAGACCAATTCATGTTCCCATAACTATAGACAATATATATAAAGACTTTCCCTATACCATGGACATGCCGCTTTGTGTCTTCCTCTATGATCTCTTTTTCTTAATCACTCTCAACTCCAGTTCCAGACGGCTGCCTCATCAATCAATCAATCACAATGGAGTCGGTGCTGGAAGGGAAAAAAGCAAGACAATCGCTTCGGAGAACCTTTCGCCGTGGCCACAACATCCACAACATCCCGCTCTAATGACAGGCGGGCACTTACGGTATCTGGAATCGGCTTAATCGAACCCTTCCACTCGGAATTGAAATGTATTTCGCCTTTATCGCAGGGACCACACCTATGGCTGTTTCGCTGGAAATGCTGGAAACGATGCAACCGCAGTCGGAGACCACAGAATAACGGCAACACCTGCCCATCAGTTGGGTCACCTTTTCATGTTGCGTGTGTGTACGAGTGTGTGTGGAACGGAAGTGCATAGAAGCAGAGCTAATGGCAGCGGAGAAAAGGAGTAAAAGAGAGGGGAAGGGGAGGAAATGAGAGGGGAAACAGGCACAAAATCGTCGGCGCCGCATTTTGGAGCAGCTGTGGATGCGGTTTATTCTCCGACTGAAGCTGCAGCGGAAGTTTTAACAACCGCCGCACAAACACTCCCAGACACTCAGAAAAATTTTATAAAATTTAAAATAAAATTTCAAATTTAACTATATTGTACAAAATGGATTTTTGAATCTTTATGTCAGGTCTCTTCTTTAATACATCTTATGGTTATGAATAAGAACAGAAAAAAATAAAGATAGCATGACATGAACGAATCAGAATTAGCTGAAATTAATAAATATAGTTATATACTTAAAATCATACATATTTAAATAAATAAATTTTGATATATATTTTTATTATTAATTAATTAATTTTCCCCCTGTTTCCTCAGTGCATTTGCTGGGGAACACACACATATGGAAATTAAAATCAATTGCCTTTGGAGTGGGATACGGAGGAATCTCCTAAAGACACACACGACGCTCCGTTGCCATCATTAGCTGCAATCGAAATCGTAGTTTTGTTGCCGTGCATGTGTCATGCTGTTCTGTGTGTATGCCATGAAAATCCCTAAAAAGATTGTGCTCGCCATGTGTCCTGGCCTATCCGACCATGGATCTCCTTGACGTTTTTATAGCTGCTAACAATGTGTCAGGTTTTCCAGGAACTCCGTTTGGGTCTGATCCCTGAGCCGGTTCTGTATCTTTGGCCTCTGAAGCGGATAATTAGGCAAATGTTTTGCCACGAAGTTTGAATGAAATGCTGGATGACGATGAGTAAGCGACCAAATATTCATGGCAGAAATACGCTAGATCTTCGATAAACGAGGGACCGACAGACCGACAGTTGATGTATGGGTATTATCTCAAATATTTCACGAAGATCGCTGGAGGAAGTTGGGTAGGTTGCTTGGAATGCAAATGGTGGCATCTATATGAGACAAAAGAATGTTGTATCACTGAGATACATTCGGGAGATACAAAAAGGTTACAAATGCTATCCATTAAACAAAAATAGAGATGACTTTATAAGAAAAATAGTAGTTTCCAAAAGAAAGTTATTAAACTTTGTACAAAATACTTATTGGGAAAAAGATTTGAAACAATAGTCGAACTCTTTGCCAACTTTAAAATTTAATTTAAGACTCCCTCGTTTTCCTCAGCAATTGCTCATAAATTCTCTTATCCCCAAGCATGCCAGATAGTTTAAGTCTCTTCAGCTGTTTTCATTCATTATGAGTTGAGACTTTGCCCGTTCATCTTTTTATAGCACCTCGAGGAGTACCTCAAACACTAGCAAAAATTGCATTTCCTCTGATCCCGTCGTCTTTCCCCTCTCCTCCACAATTTTATGCATATTTTTGGCATCCTCGGGTACCCTATTTTTATTATCGGAATGGGGGCCACGCAAATTATGCGTAAATATGCGTACCCCCTGCCATCCTTCTGCGTCGTATTTCTTGTTTATCGTTTTGCGAAAAGTCAATTTTTATAACGCACAGAGACCAGCGGCGATGGGGGCCAGATAAACCGATCCGTACATATACAGATGTGTATATAAGAGTCGAAAAAAAATGATTTGTGGTTGGCTGAAATTGGCGCAACATTGCGAGCCACAGGAACCCCCAGTGGAGAAGGTGGGTGGGGAAAAGAATATGTAACAAATTTGTAATTTGAACGCTACAAATCATAATTTAGCATAATGATCAATTCATAAACGTCAAAACCTTGTTATTCCCAGTTGCCGGTGAAGTGAATTATGTGCGCATTTTTCGTTCATGGAATTTTTCGACTATTTTAAAAGGGGGCAACGGTGAAGGGTGGCTGTCGTTGCGATTGCGTAGCCTCGGAAATACATACCCAACGACAGCGACAGACACATAATACGGTGCTCGAAAGCAAAACAAACTAGACAGGGAAACTTCCTACGAAAACTAATTAAATAAATTGCATTAAATGCCCGTCGAGCAGTTGGTGTAGGGCCAAAAGAGATATCTGATTACGAGACGGGTGTAGAAAGTTGTTCGTTGGCCTTTCAGATATTGTTAGGTAAGGTAAAGTACATAGGAAATAAAGTGCATTAAACGAATGTTTATAAACATTTGCATTAAATCAACTATTATACTTGGACAAATAAGTTTACCTTTAAGTAGTTTGCTTATAATTAAAATACAAAGGAAATGTCTTAAAAATTGGTACGCACTACAGAACATTGGCTTGTTCATCGAAGCAAAATTAAGGTAAAGAAACTTATTAGCTTCAACCGCTTTTATATAGCCTAGGGTACTTACAATTTCAAACTGTCTTTATTCATAATTCTCTTTTAAATTATCTACACACAAAATTCATCAAAAGACCCGAAAAGTAATGCAATCTAGCGAACATTTGCCATAACTCCAACTGACAGATGGCTCCTTTACGCTTCCTGTTGGCCCCTCCCACTGCCACACCCCCTCGCCCCTCCGCCCACACGGTTACCTTCTTGGGCAGCCTGCAGCATATCAAATTAACACAGACACGAAGTCGAGGACCCGGGACTGTTTGCTGCCCATTAACTGTAGCACTTTTGGGGCAAGGCACCCCTTAGTGACTCCCCGTTAACCTAGCAGCTTCAATTTGTTGGTCAGGTTTTATACATACACAGAGAAAAACAGGGTAATAATATTATTTATTTTAAAAGTAAAAATGTAACATTAAAAAACAATTCTTTAACATAAAAAAAGTTGTTGCATTGGTCTGTCTATCTTATCTTAATTTTACTAAAAAAAACTATAACAAATTTATATAATTCGAAGCTTGAAAAACATAAAATTGGATTAAAAGTGTATAATTTTGACCATCAGGTTTTGATGGTTACAGATTTTTCTAAAAAAAAATTACGAGCAATATTATGATCTTATATTATCATTATCATTTAACAGACTAATGTCAAAAATTACGGAAAATCTAAGCTTGATATATTTAGTTTTGCAATATTTAAAAGTCTTATTTTGCCAATCAAATTATGGTTCGATAACATATGATCAAAACAGCATATATTTTTGATCGGTTTTATGTAATACTTTTCCCTGACTCGCCGTGTATATACGTGGCTTTTTAATGAGCATCGTGGCCACATTGGGGGAACTTTGAGGCTGAATCTCCGACTGACTGGTACTGGTACTGGTACTGGTGACTTCAGCGATTCCGAGACAGAGAGTCCCGGCCAGGGCAAATTGCAGGTTCTCTTTCTCCTTCCTTTATTTTCCTCCGTCGAGCCCGAGCCACAAAGTGTTGCGTTGCACTCATATTTTGCCGTGTGCACCTTAATTATATGGCCGCCGACAGAAATTCAAGTGAAAAACGTTTCTCCGATGATGAAAACGAAGCGGCAGAGAAGAATGCTCAGGCGAAGGCAGGAAAATCAGAAGAAGAGGTAGCAAAATAGTGGTCGAAACCGAAACCAAAACCTAAGCCTATTCCGTGCCGCTGTTTAAGCCATGAAAATTTAATGCCAGCTTACGGGCCCGAACAATGCCCATGCCCCATGGAATTTACGAGGAGGGACTGCGAGGGAATTCGGGGAATTTTTAGGACCGCATTTCCGCTTAGGCTTCAGAAACGCCCGCACCAAGTATTAATTATGTACGCATAAAATATCTTTTGAGAGACCGAGACCGAAAAGGAGACCCTTTGAACGGCTCTCAACCCTTTCGGGGTCCGACATCAATGGGATGCAAATTAACTGTACAAACATTAATAACACTTAAAATTCTCAGGAAAAAAGAATGGATACATATATATACATATATATATATATATATATATCAGCAGCGGTCCTCTCGGCATTTGTCAAAGCAATAAAAATTGTTGGGCTTCTGTTTGATAAGAGTTTTTTATCATCTTTGATGCGAGGGTTTTCTTCAACCTTCATCCCTTCATTAATTCACAGGCACGCAGCACAAAAAAAGTACCTTTTTGTTTAAAATATTCTCTCATTACCCTAGATACTTTTGTGCTGGCTTTTCCGCATCCGTATCTCTGCGTGTTCTGTATCCGTATCTCAACTTGTTGCTGCGCTCTGCATTCGCTACGGTACGATACTGCATTTTCCCACACGACTCTCAGAGTCTTTAATGAATTGGAATTGACAGTTTGTTGGCCTTTTTTTTATTATTTACAAAACTGTATATATTTATGTGGGCTTTTGCTCGCTTTCTGTGTTTTTGAGCATGCTCGTTTTTAATGTATCTGCAAGATGCATCATCAATTATTCAATAGACTGCACTGCAATGCAGTCAAACGAAAACTTTGCCCTCGCTGTCCAAACCTCAATGTCCCCAACCCCCCAGCTCAGTGTCCCTCGGAAAAGTGATTAATTGGCGCTACAAATTTATGACGTTGTACGGCCGATAGCGAGTTGAATGTATGATAAAGCCCCAAATGGATGGCAGTTTCCACCCTCCTTCACTCCGCCCCCCAAGCGATTAAAACTTTTCGTCAGTCACGCAAACTTCAACTTCGTAAATACATTAAAGTATCCGCATGTGTACGTGTACGAGTTGTTTGTTTGTTTGTTTTTTGTTGTTGTTTGTTGTTGTTTGTCCTGTCATTATGTTTATTGTTATGGTTTTCGTTTTGTGCAATAAATATTATATAAATCATAGAAATAATTTATAAAGCTATATTTACTCGGGCCGAACTCTTAACGAGGTTTCCATAGATATTTTCTGCTGTTTGCGGTAATGGGATACTTTGATATATGATCGCTTAAAGGTTGATGTTATTTTTAGGAACCCGTCTTTGGTGGGAGTTCTTTAAGAGGATTTTTAAAGCATATACATTCTAACCTACAGAAAATTAAAAACCATTCTTTTTCTACAAGTCAGTATAAATAATTATAATATACATTTGCTAATTTTTAGATTAAAAATACATATACCCTTAACATTTGTTAAATAGAATAGGCTTTTTAAATAATACATAAAATAAATATATTTTTGTATTTTACACAAAATTCATAATAACAGATTAATCTTCTATACATTTTTTTCAATATTGTCTTCTAATAAACCATTAGGCTTTCTCCAAATGAACACTTCTTGAACCTTAGTTGATGAACAACTCTCCCTCTCCATTACGCCTACATATTTTTCACAGACTTTAAGTACTTGCTATGAGTATTTTTCATGTTGTAATTTAACGCTTTTTTATGCCGCTCTGACCACACCCACAACGGCAACAATAACAACGAAACCCTCTTCACTTCCTCGACCAATGTTCCCAGTTGGTCAGCGGTACCAAAAATCTTTTTTCAGGCAATGAGGGTCCATTGTTAT